TGGAACAAATGTTTGGCCTCCCACTGTAAACAATAACACAAGAGTAAACTCAAACAAACTAACTGGGCCTTTAAATAAGATGTCTCTCTGGCAGACACGTTTAGTTGCCTTTGGATTGTCGAGTTGTAACGTTGCGCCAAAGCGTTCCGCCGCGGAGGAGATCGCGACGCGGAACTCATAAGGATATTTTTTGGCTTTTGTTAATTGCCATGATGAATCCTGCAGTTTCCAGCACTTCTGTGTTTCCTACTCTCCCTCTTTCGTCCGTCTACCCTTCTCAGATCTATTTATCACAGCTCCTTTCGTCGTCTCTTCCCGCGACATACGCGCCGACGCTTCCCGCCTCTCTTTTGTTTCCGCCATGCAGGCTCGGCGTCGCTGGGCAGGAATCGGAAGGTAAGATTTTGATATTTTGTGATAAACACTTTTGATTATGAAGCGCAATTCATGGCGATGTTTTTCCTTTTTTTTTATCTGTAACTCTTAATACAAATTATTTTTTTCAAAATAATGCTGTTTTATTTAGAGCAGAGTAAATATTTTCAATGGCAGGTGGGAATTGATCAGTTATTAGCATTCTGATTTGATATACGCAGTTTTTGATGTTTTGATAATGGTAGTGTGACTATTATTAACATTATAATTATTGTTGCTGCTTTTTATCATTCTTGTTACTGTTAGTATTATTAGTGTTACCGTAAGATATTAATTTATCATAATTATGATTATTATTATATTTCTTACGCTTATTATTTTTATATTCTTATCATTATCATTGTCATTGTTCATATCATCACTTCTTTGCCATAATTATTATTTAATCGATCGTAAAAACAACGATAATATTATGCAATGATATTAATATGAAAATGATAATAATGATAACTTCATTACTTTTATCACTTATTATTATTATTCCTATTGCTGTCTATTACTATCATCATCATCATATTGTTATCATTTTCAGTATTAATGTAATTTTTATCGTTATTACTATCACCATTATGATCATATTATCATCATAATGATTGTGATTAGTGTTATTGTTGTTATTCTTGTTATATGAACTAGTAGTAGGCTAGTAGTAGTAATAATAATGATAATATGTAATGATGATAGTAAAAATGATAATGATGATGTAATGATAATAACAATAATGATGATAATGATATTGTCATTATCATTATCATGGTCACTATTATTATAATTTTTATTTATCAATGTTATTATTATTATTATTATTGATATGATTGTTGTTGTTACTTTGTCATTATTGTTATTACTGTTTTTGCTACTATTATTTTCATTCATCTTATCATTTTAATTGTTATTGTTATCACACCACCACCATCATCGTGTTTGTTGTTACATCATAATCATCACATCTACATCATAATTACAACCTCTTAATTGATATTTTGTCACTTTATTTATTATTGATGTTTAATATTTATTTATTTATTTATTTATTATTATTATTATTATTATTAATTATTATTATTATTTTATTTTATTATTATTCATTAATTATTATTTTATTACTTATTTTTAGTTATTATTATTATTATTGTTTATTATTATTAATTATTATTATTATTGTTGTATTTGTTGTTATTATTATTATTGTTTATTGTTGGATGGATTTTGTTTTGCATTTATCCCAACGGTATCGAGATAATCAATACTGGTTTATTTTACTCTTTTAGTCTGGGTTTAATGTGAATCCTAACCGCAGTTGTATGTGTGTGTGTGTGTGTGTGTGTGTGTGTGTGTGTGTGTGTGTGTGTGTGTGTTGTGTGTTGTGTGTGTGTGTGTGTGTGTGCTGTATAATGTGTTGTGTAGTTTGTGTGTGCGTGTGTGTGAGTGTGGTGAAAATGTATGAATAAGAATGAATATTTTGACAGATGCAGAGATGCATTCGACGGGTTTCAATTCATCTCGTCAGAATACATGGATTCTGACGAAGATAGAATCGAACCGTTCGAAGCCCATCTCTGTTCTTCTGTGAAGATATCTATTCTTATTCGAGTGAGAGAGGGAGAGAAGAGAGAGAAAGAGAGAAAGAGGGAGAGACGAAGAGAAGAGAGAGAGAGAGAGAGAGAGAGAATGAGAGAGAGAGAGAGGATGAGAGAAAGAGAGGAGAGAGAGAGAGAGAGAGAGAGAGAGAGCGAGAGAAATAGGAGAGAGAGAGAAGAGAGAGAGTTTGTGTTGAAGATATATGATTGATACAGTACCCATCGTGCTTTGGTTGTAGAAATGTATACGTAAGATAAGCAGACACACACACACACACACACACACACACACACACACACACACACACACACACACACACACACACACACACACACACACACACACACACAACACACACACACACACACACACACACACACACACACACACACACACACACACACACACACACACACACAACACACACACACACACACACACACACACACACACCACACACACACAACACACACAAACACACACATATTTATATAAACACACACACACATATTTATATAACACACACACATTTATGTAAACACACACACACATATTTATATAAACACACACACACATATTTTATGTTTTATATAAACACACACACACATATTTATATAAACACACACACACATTTACACACACACATATATTTATATAAACACACACACACACATATATAACACACACACCAACACACACACACACACACACACACACACACACACACACACACACACACACACACACACACACACACATATATATATATAATATATATATATATATATATATATATATGCATATCCAGCACCATCATGCTTTATCTTTCTCCCAGTGCACCAGAAGCCTCCGTTCTCCTACATCGCCCTCATCGCCATGGCCATCAGGAATTGTCCGGAACAGAAGATCACTCTCGCAGGCATCTACAGGTTCATAATGGACAGATTCCCTTACTACAGGTGCGTCCCTTTGTGTGTGTGTGTGTGTGTGTGTGTGTGTGTGTGTGTGTGTGTGTGTGTGTGTGTTGTGCGGTGTGTGTGTGTGTGTGGTGTGTGGTGTGTTGTGGATGTGTGTGTGTGTGTGTGTGTGTGTCGTGTGTGTCACGACGAGCGTGAGAGAGTGAAGAGATGAGAGGAGAGAGAGAAGAGAGAGAGAGAAGAGAGAGAAGAGAGAGAGAGAGAGTGTGTGGGTGTGTGTGTGTGTGTGTGTGTGTGTGTGATGTGTGTGTGTGTGTGTGTGTGTGTATTTGGTGATAGAGAGAGAGAGTGAGAGAGTGAGAGTGAAAATGATTTGTATTTGTGAGTATGTGTATATACTGTTATTGCAAGTTCCTAAATATTTTATTTCGTTTAGGGAGAATCACAAGACAACACCGCTTTCGTGAATTTATAATAGTCCATAAACATTACTTATAGTTTCTTATTTCATGACAGACACAACAGACAAGGCTGGCAGAACAGCATTCGCCACAACCTCAGCTTGAATGACTGCTTCATTAAGGTAATTATAGTCTACGTCTCTTTCTGTAAACTATTCTTTAAGATACGCTGGTCATGGCAAAGAATGATCTATGGAAACGTTCTTTCTTCACTTTTATGGTTGTTTGCAAAGTCCTCGTGTGTCCTCTTGCACTCCTATTAGTAAGTAATAATGGCAAGAACATAAATGTGCTAAACATCAAAGGTCATATAGCACTATGGTATTGTATTGCGGTGGGAGAGCTTTTTAAAGTTCTTTGTTAGAGTTAAAATGTCATATTTTAACGGTTATATATTGTATGATAGTATAGTAGTTAAAGGAGTAAAAAGAGGAGATAGATAGGGTAGGAAAGGTACTGATTGCACTCCAATTACAGTATTATGAAACACGCTTCCACTGGCCATCCCTGTCGTAACTCGTCCGCACCGTCGCTTGTCTGCAACTCCTTCATGGAAATTCATATTTTGCCTTCCAGGTTCCGCGCGAAAAGGGCCGCCCGGGGAAAGGCAGCTATTGGGCCCTCGATCCAGCGTGTTCCGACATGTTCGAGAACGGCAACTACAGGAGGAGGAAGAGACGCCCGAGACAGCCTCTTGCCCCGCCTACGCCGGTGAAGGACGCCAGAGGACAGGGCGGGAGAGTTTGCAAGCCCGGACAGAAGAAGGAGGAACTAGGTCCCGTGGATGTTCCTGAAGAAGGGGATCCCAGAGTTCCGCCAAGCCCCGCCTTGATGGAGGGTGACGGAAGGTTGAAGGGCAAGGCAGGTAGAGGCGACGGGGCAATACAGTTCGACTTCCCTCTGGCCCTTCCTTTCGGTCACGACAGAGGATCTCCGGGCGAGGAGCTAGGACACTACGAATCCCTGAGGAGCTACCTGAAGCCGTCCTGCGTCAGCCAAGAGATTGTGGAAGAGCCGTGGAGGGTTTCCGCCTTAACCTCGACAAGCCAAAGAAAAGACTCGGAAGACCTCAAAAGACCGACGATGCTCCCCAGTCTCCATTGCCTGAAGGAGAGCTTCCAAACACCTTCTCAAAATAGCAGATTCAGAGAACCAGAAACGAAATTGGAACCGTTCCAGAACCGATGGTCTCCCTTGCACCAGACGCCAAGGACACATCACGACCGCCTCCACCTCGCCCAGAACCCGTTACCTTCCCTGAGTTCGAGCAGCAGATCGGCCAGACAGAGGACCCACAACCACCAGAGTATATTCCCGGGTGTCCAAGCTCTCAAAAGCGCCGGGGGAACGTGGCTGGAACACGTCGATCTGTTGGAAAGTAACTCGCTGGTCAAACGTGAATACCCTGAACTTTTTTCATTATCAAAGGGCTTGACAAACCACGATCTCCAGGGCGCCAGTAAGAAGGGGAAAAGCTTTCTGATAGAAAACCTTATCAACTAGTCATAAAATAACTCAAATATCTGCACCAGGTGAGATAGAGAAAGGATCTTACTCATGTAAAAGGTCAGGTGTACGCCAGTTCATGAATTCCAGGACATGAGTAGGGTCAAATAGTCATAAATCTATAACCCAAAGGAAACAGAAAATAATATTTTATTACATTTAAAGATTATTAGAATAGATATATAAAAAAATATCGTAATTCGTTGATCCTTTATACCATTAAGACTTGTACGTCTATGCATGTAATATACTTATATGCAGGCATTTATGTTATATTTTTACATGTTTCTTGCTGTCATTTTACTGTGTAGCTTTAAACTCTCCGATGCCAAGAATAAACAAGACAAAGAAATTACTGTTCTGTGATTTTTAGAATCATTGGCAAATCATATACAAAATCACCAAGAACAGTTGCAGACCCTTCCTAAATACTGTAGAGGAAACACCAAGTACTCACAGTATTTTTGAACAAGGTGAACAAATACACTAAGTAACTAAAAAGCTTTATTTAACTCTAATTCACTATTTCCATGATTTACCTTAACATATCAGAATTAAGACATTCTATCTACCTTCACACAAAGTAAATATAGTTACTAACATAATCAATTCTCATTTCTAGTTTCTAACCAAGAACTACTTTTTCGCTTTTTTTTTCTTTTTTGTACAGGATAATCGATATATTCCCCCAGCCCTTTCCCTTATAAAGGAATATTTTGTTCCATGCCTAATACTCATTAGCTCCACTTCTCCAATGGTTGTTTAAAGCAGCAATTATAAATGCTCATTAAGGTGCCCACAGCTACCTTGAGGGTCAATTTGGTACAGAGACTAGCAACGTTCCAATATAGGAATATATAGAGAATGTTTAAGGTTCTACACTATAACAGAAAACTGAAGTGAAGAGCAGTTACACTTAGGTAAAAAACCTTATAAATAGTTATCAGTTACAAAATACATATCTGAGCAAATATATCACTAAAATAGCTGAATGCTAAATACATTCCAATATACATATGCCAATAAACTTCACGTTTTTTGGCAACTAATCAATTTACAACTGCCAGGGAACACATTTATACCACCTTAATTAGCTGTAAAAATACATTTCCTTGGAGTAGCAGTTTACAACTGGCAGTGTAAATCCTGCAACACTACATGCTATTTTTTTTCACATCACGCATGAGCACTAATTCATCATCCTACTATTACCACTACAATCATTTTACTCATGAATTAGCCAGTTGTTTGTTCTTCACCGTAACGCCAAGCAACTGGGACTTTACAAACTTTAAGCTCTGATTTCTCACTAATGAACAATTGGCCTATAAGGGTCCTTATGTTATACTTCCTAATGGACTTCTACGCTAACTCTATCTAATTATCATTAAACACACAGATTCACATTACATAAAAGAACATGTAGATAAATGCATGGTTACCAAAAGGAAATACCCTGTAATAAAACTGCCTTTGTTATGGTTGATATTTTTTCATATATTACAGAGTTGGCACTACAGGATATTCTACACTTACTAAAAGTATTTTTTTTATTATTAACATTACACTAGTCTCTTCCAGGACAACTGAAAATAATGAAAAATATTATATAATAAGTTAAATTCAGAGAGAGAGAGAGAGAGAGAGAGAGAGAGAGAGAGAGAGAGAGAGAGAGAGAGAGAGAGAGAGAGAGAGAGAGAGAGAGTGAGAGAGAGAGAGAGAGAGAGAGAGAGAGAGAGAGAGAGAGAGAGAGAGAGAGAGTGTGTGTGTGTGTGTGTGTGTGTGTGTGTGTGTGTGTGTGTGTGTGTGTGTGTGTGTGTGTGTGTGTGTGTGTGTGTGTGTGTGTGTGTGTGTGTGTGTGTGTGTGTGTGTGTGTGTGTGTGTGTGTGTGTGTGTGTGTGTGTGTGTGTGTGTGTGTGTGTGTGTGTGTGTGTGTGTGTGTGTGTGTGTGTGTGTGTGTGTGTTGTGTGTGTGTGTGTGTGTGTGTGTGTGTGTGTGTGTGTGTGTGTGTGTGTGTGTGTGTGTGTGTGTGTGTGTGTGTGTGTGTGTGTGTGTGTGTGTGTGTGTGTGTGTGTGTGTGTGTGTGTGTGTGTGTGTGTGTGTGTGTGTGTGTGAGAGTGAGAGTGTGTGTGTGTGTGAGTGTGTGTGTGTGTGTGTGAGTGTGTGTGTGTGTGAGAGTGTGTGTGTGTGTGTGTGTGAGTGTGTGTGTGTGAGAGAGTGTGTGTGTGAGAGTGTGTGTGTGTGTTGTGTGTGTGAGAGTGTGTGTGTGTGTGAGAGTGTGTGTGTGTGTGAGAGTGTGTGTGTGTGTGTGTGTGAGAGACACGCCATGAGAGTGAGCATGTGAGTATAGCCATGGGAGTGCATGTGTGTGTTTGCATGTGTGTGTGTGTGTAAACACATGTATAAGCTCTCTCACTTTCTCCCTCTTTCACTCTTGCTTTCTCCCTCTTAGATTATTCATACGCAAATAATTCTATAATTGACCTTATCATGGAATTTTGTTATTTAATCTAACACATTTCATATACAAGCCTTGAGACTGCCTTCTTTGGTAGACGTGCGTGTCAAATTCATTTAAACCACATGATGACGGGGATGGCATGTGCATACATGCCATGCCCACTGTGTGTAATTTAGTAATTGTTTTTACATACAGATGGCTCCATAAGTACTAGGTCACCAGTGAGCCAGTTACGAGAAGTATCTGTCTCACCTGTTTACCCTTTTCCTTGATTTTAATATTTTCTAGTTTTTGATACTACTGTTAGTAATGCCAATAACAATATAGTAATTACAATGTTTATGATAGAAATAATAGAATCAATATTGGTAGCTTTAGTAAAAAAAAAAAAAAAAAAGCATTTTCCCCGCCAACTACTGACTTCTCCGTGGCTAAGCACTGGCAGAACCATCCATGTGCAGAGGCATTTAAAACAACAGCACTAAAGTGAACGCAACATTTTCCCTGCAGCATTGGGTTAATCCCAACGTCAAGTAGAGCTGCCTCAAAAAATTGTCCTTTTGATACACACAGAAACATGACTTTCCAGAACCAACCTAAGGAAAACACAACAATCAATTATTCAACATACCCTGAGATCCTTTTTACCTGGCTGTACGAAATCCTCCCAAAGAAAACATTTTTAAACATGAAGAGACATATGCTGGACATGAAATGATTTTGCAAATACCATGTTTTCATATGTAGAACACTGTACCCACTTCCGATACATGCTGCCCATGCAAATTCACTTTTGTTCATGAATAACACAGCTGATAGGGAATGAGTTACCTTAATTGTTACATGGAATATTTTTGAGCTAAAGAGTAATTACAGTGAGCACCATTTATGCTGCATTTACAAGAATTTACCAGAAGGATAGGCTAAATCTTTTTTATTTATACAAGTTGGCACAGAATATGACTGAAAATAGCATCACAACATCCCCTTAATTGAATAATAAAGTAGGATTTTGAAAGCAATAACAAAGCAGTGATAATAATTTCAATAAGGAACAATTATGTCAAATTCATAAACATATAAAATTTAAAAACTGATTTTCATCAAAGCTTCAGAACTTTGTTGACCCCTGTCATCTTCTCTGCATACTTCCAGGTATAAACAAAGCCATTTAAAGTCGGCATGCAAAATCCATTGCACTATTAAAATTGACTTACTTCTAAAACATGTACAAAAAACAATGAAAGCCTGAGGTACTTTCACTGTTTTTTTTTATGAGGCAAAAGTCATGGCTTCTTTGAAATCTTTGGTTTCTTTATGTTTCTTACATTACAAGATAACAATGCAACCATTTTCTGGACAAAATGTGAATGCAGTAACATCCCACTATATTGAAAAAAGCTAAATAGGGGAAAAGAGAGCTTGCTAACATGAATTATTGTGTATACAAACAAACCTACATCACTTGCAAAAGAATAAAATTTGTGCTTACTAAATGCCATGTCTGCAATACACAACCAGATGTTACAAGGCTACTAAAAAATTCCCAAGCCATAATTTAACATATATAATGATAATCAGTATACAAGAGATTATCATTTTTCTAAATATTGCACTGTTACATTACTGTAATTACAGCTATTCAAGAAAACAATGTCACACAACACAGAAGGAAATTATTTAACTTTTATTACTTTTACCTGCATACCCTTCATCCATATGCAAATGAAGAAACATACTATGTAACTACAACAGATAAAATATATAACTTAAAAAGTATTACCAAACATATTTGGTTTACATAAAGGGCAAAGCACCCATTGTTAACAAAATTAAAAGAAAACATTGAGAGAAAACAAATTATAGTAAACAATTAATAACAATTACATACACATACATAAAACAAGTAAATAAATACTAAATAAATATTAAGGAACTTTCAATTATAGATGCATGTTCCTAATGAAGAACATGTTTGCTACAGACTTTTTTTCATGTGTTTTCCCTACTGGCTTATCACAGAGACAGGATAGCTCTAATATCAATCTTTTGATCACAAAATTTTCACTTGATCAGGTAAACATTCACAAATATATGAGTCATCTCTAGACAATGATATTGTAACGCAACAACAATAGCTCTTACCTATGTCTTACCTACATCAAACCGAGCCATGCTCCAGGTACCACATACAAAAAGCTGCTAATGTGCAAAATTAGAGGTACCCACTATCTATGATTTGGGCTGCAGCATATATGACTTTTCAATAAAGAAAGACTAAAAGAAGTCTTTGAGCCAATTCTTAAAAGCTGTATCTTTTTACTGACTTCAGATAAGGCCAAATAAGTGAATAACTGTTTAGCACGCACAACAAGTAGCAGGTACAACCATGTGTGACAAGTACACTTGCCACCTGGCATATGGTCTTGGTGCTTCAATGAGCTGATAATATCAAAGAACAAGCCAAGAGTAAGTTCTCACTGCTAAAAACTTAAATGTTATGTAAGATTACTTATGCCAGGTGGTGCCTTATCCTGCATTTAGTCCACATCCTGACTACTGGGATAAGGTTTGGTATATCCAACTCCAATCCAAACAACTGCCAAGATATAAATTGTTGCAAACTACTACATATCGTCTCTTAGCTAATTGAAAGTTCTCTTTCAGCTAGAAGTTCAGAGGGACAGATTCCCTTATCTTGAATAAAACTGTCAGGCCAAAACACTTTTTCAATAGTATTCACTGAGAACTAAAAAATAAGCCACAATGGCCTCTGCATATGAGTAGCTGATCAGTGAATATTGTAATGCCATTGTAACTAGTCAATAAATAAATAAATAAATCTAAAATCCTCTAACACCAGACAGCATAAGTCATTTACTGAATACTAATTTCAGTTTTTACAGAGATGTTATGAATGTTTTAAGGCATACATAAGGCCATTATTAGAAATTAACACCTCAGATTCTCCCCCCTTTTCACTCTTAACTAAATATACCATTGAACAAGCAAAACACAAAATGTATCATTACTGTATTATCCAATACAAACTGTTAAAAGTGCTTGCATGATAAGGTAAGTTATATTTCCATTTGAGAAATAAAGATTGTTCAACACAGACACTCAAGAAAAACTTCCAGGAACTCCAATTAGCATGCATTAGCAAAGCAGAAAGTCTAGCCATGTGTGAACAGCATACACATCTATTCCTATTAGTTATTACATGATCCTGAGGGTAATGGATGTTAACCAGGAATAAAATTTGAACATATATAGATTCATAATTTCTATAACCACAAGTTAGTCAAACCAATCCCTTTACACAGTACCTATATACCTATTTCCTTGTGATATGTCAAAACAGATTATCCTTATGGTCCTTTTATGCCAGCTATTCAGGTATTGCTACCTGAAAACAATAAGTTAACCTCTGTCAGTTACGTAAATCACTTGACTTCAGGTTCACACTTACATTACTCATACATAACTTACATGCTGTTAAAGTCACATGTTACTTCAGGATATTTTCAGAACATTTCTTGTTTTTTTTATATCATTCATCAGCTACCTTTAATTACATTGTCAGTAAAGTTTAGTTTCATGTTACACAATGCTTAAAGTCATATATTGTACACATATCTTGGGTTAATTACAATCACCACTTTGAGTTATATGAAGTGATTTTCAAAAATCAGCACCATTGTTAAGGTTATTTCGTTACATAAATGCATTTCATTTGAATTGACAGTTAAAAACAAAAGCAAAAAAATATAAGTCATATGAAAAAATAAAAAAAATAAAATATAAAATACAAACTAATTTTTGTGTCATGGTCTATTCACAGAAACAAAACGACTGATATTCTAAGATTCTACTCTGCTACTTCTACCACAGGCACGAAGTTGACTAAAGGAGATGACTTATGATTTAGCATTGGTCACGTCAGATTAAGCTAGGTTACATATAGCTTGATTAAGTTTGGATAAAAGCATGTCTTACTTAGCTGGATTGCACTGGCGTAGGTTGTCCAAGTTTAGAAAGATTCAAGAGAGCATTTCACTTGGAGGGAAGAATGGCGAGTACAGACTATTAGGATTCTAGGTCAACACGATGAGAGATCAAGTCAGACGAGGCTTTCCAAGGTCCCAATAATATTAAGACTAGGCTTGGTCATGTCTAAATCAAATTAGACTAGGCTTTGCAACATTTACACGGAGTTGAGCATGAGATCTAAAGCCTATATAAATGCAGAGTATGAAATCATTCTATTAAAATAAATACTAATAAAAAAAAAGAGTTATCATAATGGGAAAAGGCTTTACTTGTAAACTGCTTTACCGTAACAAATGGGAATGCAAATTATGCAACTGCAGGGAAAATCTCTCGTGAATAATCTCCCTCACCTTACATGCAGTTCTTGACTGATATGGGTTTTCCTATTCTTTTCTTCTCATATGACCGCAACTAAGAAGAGTTCTTTTTTTCCCCCTTTATAATGAAACATCACTGAAAATAAATGGTAAATTTCCTTATTTCAATCAAGGTTCATAAATTTCTTATTTTCTTTTTCACTTCTTTTTTCTTTCACATATACCAGTAAGTCAAATTAACTGAATTCAAGTTGATACATACAGATAAAATTACTCTTGTTTGTATGAAGTTTCTTTTATTTCTTAGGTGTGCATTATGATCAGAAATGTTAACGATGTAAACATTCATGTCACTGTTATAGTGGCCAAATATCAATCATTAAACTTTGCATACTCTAGTATACAGCAAGACTTTGTAGCAATCAAAATTTGCTAAGAGATAAGCAGTAGCAAAGTTTCAGATGCTGAAATGTGTCAACAGATACACATATATATAGAAATATATATATACATGTGTGTGTGTGTGTGTATAAGTGTGTGTGTGGGTGTGCATATGTGTGTGTGTGTATATGTGTGTGTGTGTGTGTGTGTGTGTGTGTGTGTGTGCGTGCATATGCACATGCGTGTGCGCGTATGTGGGAGGGTGTGTGGGTACTCATGCTAGCGAGTCTGTGCATATGCATGCAGGTGTGTGTGTGTGTGCATGTGCATGTGTGTGTGCGTGTGCATGTGCATGTGTGTGTGTGTGTGTGCTAAAGTTTTATATGCATAAAGCCTCCTATATCAGTTCTATCAAAATTCTATACACTGGTATCTGATGAATTAAGTTCTACCATTTTATATATACAATAATACTCAACACACAGCAATGATACACAATCCCATGCCTAATTCCCAATTTTACTTTCTTTGCATTAATTACTTTTCTTTTCTATCCTTTTCTTTCTTTTCTCTTACCCAATTCTCCACAGTCAACAACAAAAGCAGCCCTATGAGAGTCCCATTCTAGGCAGTAAAGGTGGTTGGTCACTTTGAAAAGCCTGAGGGAATGGGAACATCAAACACAATGGGTGGATTGATAGGGACAAAATTGATGTTGCAAGTTGAGGCATTGATGAAAATAATTTTTCCGTCCGTTGTCACACCGTAACCTAAGGGAGAAAATGGCAAATGAACAAGCTATGCAATAATACAATAAAGCTCTTGATAACTAATATTACACAACTGTGAGTTTAAGTGAGGAACTACCAAAGAGCCTTTTTCAACACATATTAGAAATTTCTACTATAAATTGGCTAACCTCTATTCTTATACCATATTTTTTACCATAGATTCTACATTATTCTTTCAGTGTCTTTATCCTTCTTACTTTTAAAAGATATTGCAAAATACAGAAACAAAACAGAAAAAAATACCATACAAAACAAGAATGAGAAAAGAAAACAATTTCAGATGTAAGGTATTTGTGTTTGAGTTAAATCAATTCAGTATTTTTCACTCCTACATGAAGGACCTAAAGGGGGAAGAAATAATGAACTATAGGGGAGAAAAAGGAGGAAGGAACAACAAAAATGAGAAAAAGAAATGGAGAAAAACATAATATTTTACTTCCTTGAAAACCAACAGAACAACAATGCCGACAAGAATGAATTTCCCTAAAAAACTCACCTTCATGAATATGCCCAAATACATGGTACTTAGGTTTAACCCTGGTTTGCACAGTGGAAAGGAGGTCGACACATCCTGCCCTCACCCCTGTGCAGCAGAGGTCCCCATGACCCACAGGAGGGGTGTGAGTGATCAGGATATCTGTATCCTCGGGGATGGCATCCCACTTCTCCAGGCAGGATGTGCCTCTTGGTAGGTTGAAGGCCCAATTGCAATACTCTGGCTGCCTGTTGAGGACAAGCACATGGTCAGTGTTGTGCTTTTGTTTTGTAATAATCCAAAAGTATCAACTAAGATAAATAGTTACTGAACATATAATAAATCTTACTTACAGTATGTACTTTGCGAGTCATAACAAGTTTAGATCTATATGGTTCATGTATCAACCTTTACTGGTAATTCAAATGAAAATAAAAAATATATCTTCACCACCCACATACCAAAACAAAAATACATCTACACAGTATACATAAAGCATTTCCCAATACCAAAAGCCACTTTTTTAATATTTACAATTTTTCAAAACTAACTTCTTGCTTTTTGTGCTTTGCGCTACATTGCGATTTATTAAGAGAAAGCTGCTGTGCTCTGGACTGACTGCAAGCTTCAAAAAACAGCCTTTTACCTCAGAGTCCACTACATTCCAGTCTAGCAGGTGACAGTATTGCAAATGAAGTAATCCTCTTTATTGGATTTTAAAAGTTAGTATTTATGGTTCATGTAAAAGCTATCTTCAAAAAACTCTAATGCATATGTCAGTGTTATTTCTCACATGCAATGAGGTCTTCAAAAATGTGACACTTTATAATTACATATCGTGTTAAAAAGTGTCTACAGCTATTTACCATGGTGTTCCGTATAGTCTGATCCCACATATTGTAAGAGCCTGATCCTGTAAGTAGATGGCATTCGTCACCAAATCAACTGTGTTTTGTTCGGCAACAGCTGCGCACAATTCCTCTCGTTCCATCCCCAAGTCAGGAATCTCATTGATAAGACTGTCTCCTGCAAAAGTAATCATAGATTAGTAAGTTCACATCATTTCCATTCAGCTTTTCTTCTCTTTGAAATATATATTTTCTATTTTTCCTTTTTTTCTTATAAATAATTTTTGTCTACAAATATGCTTTTGAATATATGAGCATAATGTTCATCATAGCAAAAAAATATATATACCTGTATGTGCTGTTTTGTGGTGTTGCCTAGTGGTTGTTGTGAACTTGCTGTCAAAGCTCAACTCATGATTACCAGCTATAACGACCTTGTGTTTGTGTGGAAGAGCACCTGAAAAAAGAAAAAAAAATTGAAATGCAATTCTATTCATAATAATAAATACTGGACTAATATCTATTCCTCATATGCACTTTCCCAATCAAACAAATGCAAACAGAAGATCTTCCAAAATTACTTAACATTGTTGCAATTTCCAGGTAGAACTTCCTACTAGCACAGAGAATAGGCTTTAAAATATCCATTTCATTAAAATGCTATAACCACTAAAACTGTATATCTATGAAATGAGAGAGAGCAGTGAGGAAAATACTGACAGATTTCTCACACATATCTCACATCTTCAACAAGATAATCAATAAACATATTATGATATACCATTAGGCAATTACAACTTACCAAATTCTCCAGCCTAAGATACAATTAGTGTGATGAAATAAAAAATAATCATAAAATCATGCAAGTACACACTCTCTGTAGATAACACTACCTATCCAATTGTTGAATTCTTCTACCTCAACGGCACTGCCACATCTAGTAAAATCTCCAGCGTGAATGAAGACATCGCCATCTGGTATGTCCAGCTGGATGTGTGATGTCAGACTATGGGTGTCACTCATACACACAAATCGCAGCTGAAAATTTTGGCAAACATCTATCATCATGTTTCTTTACACTGATTCATATCCAATGCAGGAATAAATCTGGAAAATACTATTGAGTATATAAGTGCAAGTAAGAACATAGATAATTAGACCAAAGAATTACTGGTCTGTAAGAGTTCACATCTAATTTATAATACCTAGTCTACTCTGGAACATAAGAGATAAGAAAAAAAACACATATAATTTCCTTTGGGGATACAAAGAATTTTGTCTTATATCATATATATATGTATAGATGTGTCACATATCACCTACAATAGTTTTATCACTTCTCAAAATATCAATTAATGAAATCTTGTAATAACAAACCTTACAAGCATAATACAACCATAACACAGATTATCAAAGAAAATCAGCCAAATGTAGTAGTAAAGCTTTCTGTTAGTCACACTGTGACAGGTTTTAATAAATCAACAAGCTACGAATGACTGCACTTCCCTAAAGATCCAGTCTAAATAAGAACTTTGAGTTTATAAACCTTTAATAAAATTACTGTCAAAACTATCACACTTATGACACCTAAAACTTCATAAAATATCCCTTGCTTAACACAGGTGAGTTACTTGGGTAATCTATGGTATATCAAAGTTAAGATATGGAAATAAATTATTTAATGAAACAAGCAACTAGCACATCAAAATACACTATTCCAGGATGACATCTTCAGGTCAAGCTCAGTAAAACTTGATGTAAGTTATGTGCACTAAACATTAATCCACTTATTTGACCCTACATCACTGAAAAAAGACAGCCTCTCAAAATGAGGTTTATAGCTTCTTTACCTCTTTGTTAGCAAAACAATCGTTATGCCACAGCCAAGAGCATAAAGACGAGGGAGATTTTATATTTCTAGCACCGTTAATTCATCCCTTAAGCAGTGGACTCCACATGTACCCTGACTCAAGGTTTAGTATGGACTGAGTGAGTTCAGGAAGGGATATCTGTATGGGACTATTCAGTATTATCATCCATTCATCCTATAATATATAATACCATGTTCTCATCAGGCGGTGTGGTTGGGGTTTTCACGTTGAGCTTGATGGTGCGCTGGGTTGTTCGAATCTGCTCCCATGCTTGTGTGGGGTTGTTTGTTATTGGATGCACTGTCACTTTTCCGCCTGACATTTCTATTCTGCAAAAGAGGAAAATGCTGATGCCTTTGTAGAAATTTCTTCTGTCATCTAAATCATTTTTTCCACCACAAAACAAAATAAGTAGTTAGTAAAGAAGCAATAAAAAATAATAATAATATTCACCTCTATTTCAGTTTTATAAATACACCTAATTAGTAAATAAAAATGCATCAGACACAACTCAAAACAGGAAGTACTTGCAAAGGCCAACAGATTTATCCCACATATATTTAGCAAGAGAGAGCATGGGAATGATTCTATATTCAATAATAAATCATCAGGGAGGTCCACAAGCATATCATTCTTTGTACCTAAAAATAGATATTGTGTTTAGCTGTTTTTTAAGGTCTGTCTTGACATTGATTTCCATCTTTGCGCATTTCTAGTCTAAATATCTACCATTTACAATACCCATATCATCATTACTTGAAAATAAATTATGTCTTTTATATATTAACATATATACACACTTCATTTTTCTATCAAACATTATCCTATCAATAGATTAGTAAAGTGAGCTTACATTACAATCTTGAAACAAAGAAAAAATAGAAGACACAGCAACTCAGTGATATTAAAACAAACCAATGTACCTTCCCGAAAACAAACAAAGAACATGAAAATACCTAAAATACTAGGAATCCTAAAAATGCATCTAAAACAAGAATAAAAGTATATAAGCAATTCAGCAAAGTATATTAGCAAATCAGCAATAAATTACAGGATCTTGCAATATGAGGAGTTACAAATCAAACACAGATTAAAACATGAAAATAGAGAAATCATATTCAGAAAGGGGTCCATCCTACTTTTATTAACAAACAATACAAAACATAAATAAAGTCCTTTTGTTATATTTAGATCCCAGTAATCTATCTGTGAAAAAAAGAATCTTAGTTTCCCAAATGGCTGCAACATTTCAGACAATACTATCAAATTTTCATCAATATAAAGATAAAATAGACATCGCTCATAGTAAAAAGAAGTACAAAGGAAGGTTACAAACTGTATTGAGAAAATGTTAATTCAACATATGATACATTTGATGATTATTATGAAATCAGTATAAGTCCTTGTTCAGAGAATACCTTAAGCGAATAGCATGCGTATGTTATAATGATTTGCTTTTCGAGGATTCTGCTACATTCGAACAATACAAAAATTACATAAAAATTACGAGAACAATAAAAACAATGTAAATACTACGAAAACCCGGTCTTTTAAGTTCTCAAACGAAAGTTCTAGTTTAATTATATCATTAAGTGAACTGAGAAAAGAAATGGAAAACAAATAAACCAATAACTATGACAATAAATATGAAACGAAGACATATAATATCAGTTCAATCACATTTGCACTTATCTCACGTTATCAACCTTACGCTTCACAGTTACATTCGATTCATCTAATTCTTCTCTTCGTAATAAACCTATCCACTCGGAAATTTCTCCTGGATTTTCTAACTGACTGTTTAACCACATTAAATTCTTACTATTTATATTTGACGTTTGTTGTGCGTCCAGCTGATGTATGAGGGCGTTCTGCTAACTGCCAATCGGCGTGCAGGCGTGAATCCGCATGCATGCAGACACTCGTATAACTTTATTTCACTGATGTCATATCTGGTATATATGTGTGTTTATTGTTGATACGTATATGATTTTACAAGTTTCCGTCTTCTACACGTTTTATGATTGAATGCGTTATGGAGACAAAAGGCTGTGAGAATATTCCGTGTCTCCTTTATTGTTAACAACGACATTTTAGGGGGAGTTTATATAGCTACTTATTATTCTTTATGATATGAATAATAGTAAAAGAAAGGAATAGACAACGTAAAACCCTTATACTCGAAGCAGAAGATACGCGCTATGCGATCACAACCACAAGTCGCTTGGGCATTAGAAATCGAGGTCGAGATAAATAGATAACGCTGTTTTATCTTGTTTTTTTTTCTCTCAGTTTTTTACATATGCATATACATACATACATACATACATATATATATATATATATATATATATATATATATATATATATATATATATATATATATATATATATATATATATATATATATATATATATATATATATATATATATATATATATGTATATATATATATATACATATATATATTATATATATATATATACACATACATATACATATGTGCGTGCGTGTGTGTGTGTGTGTGTGTGTGTGTGTGTGTGTGTGTGTGTGTGTGTGTGTGTGTGTGTGTGTGTGTGTGTGTGTGTGTGTGTGTGTGTGTGTGTATCTGTGTGTATGTGTGTATGTGCGTCTGTGTGTGTGTGTGTGTGTGTGTGTGTGTGCGTCTCTGTGTGTGTGTGCGTGTCTTAAATACTTCGTTAAGCAATTTATTGTACAGCCCCTGAATTTTACCATGTAGTAGAGCATAAACACACGGGTGGTGTATATATATAATATATATATATATATATATATATATATATATATAATATATATATAATATATACACACATCTATATATGGAAGCACACACACGCACACATATATATGCATCCATATATCTGCCATATGTATAAGTGTATATACATAGTCACACATTCACACCCAGACACACACACACACACACACACACACACACACACACACACACAACACACACACACACACACACAACACACACACACACACACACACACACACACACACACACACACACACACACACACACACACACACACACACACACACACACACACACACACACACACACACACACATCCGTGCGTAAATATATTTATATATGTATATACGTACAATAATATACATAAATATATCATTTCGTTTATTTTAGCATAGTAATTCTTGCTAAAAGATCGATAATATTCAAAATCTAAAAGTGCGTTCGCCTAAAAGTACGTTCGCAGGTATCCGCACGAAGATTCGAGAACGACAACAAACAAGCGTGGTCAGTAGAGACAACATGGCGAAGAAGCGAGCACGCAAGGCTGTGGAGGAAGAGGAGGAGGAAGTACAAACCCCAGCAGCGCCAACGGGTTTTACTCCCCCACTTACAAGGGATTCAGATGTTCCAGTGACGAAGAAATTAAAGGTTTGATATTGTGATTATGTGAACGTTAAAGGAAAGGCATTGGTTTCTACCGCTGCAAGTCCTGCGGTGTATCATGCCCACCGCAAATTTGTTTATTCATGTTTATCTAATGGTTTAGGGATTTTGGTAGATTTGTGGTGTCTTTCTATCATTTGGGTGGCAAAGGGAGGCAGATTACATGATATTTTAAAGCAAATGAGAACTTACGACAGGTTTTTCTGCATTTGTGCGTTTTATACCAATTACAAGAATTACAAGAACTGATTTCTTGATTTTCTGCAAGATAGAGCTTGATCTAGTTTCTAATTAGGTAGCAGATCACCAGAATGAAATACAAGCTCCATCTTGCTAAAAGATTTGGTAAATTTGGAAATGCAACTCCACACCATTTTTGGGGTGAATAGAACACTTTCCCCATGGCTTTCGTTGTGTTTCCAACGAATCTAGCACTCATTTCCTTCGGAAACTAAGTATAACTATGATATCGGTCTCGATAGCTAGGGAGGGCATGAAATGCCTACATATCTGGGAATTTCGAGAAATATCGGTAGAATACTAGTAATCATAGTATATCAATACATCTCCTGGTTGTATAGAGGGCTCCACCCCCTTAAACCCCCTTTCAGGGAGGGCTGCTTCCCCCTACCAACCACCTAGTCTACAAAATCTCGTATGTTCCGGCAGGATAGAGCCCGGGCAAACCAGGTATCTGACACGTTTTCAGTAAATATAGGGGTTTTGCCCTATTATACACCCGCCTGGTCTGCGAAATCTTCACCTCGCTCCAGCAGGAGAGAGCCCAAACCCATGAACAGTTTTAACCTCATCTTACCTTTAGCCTCAATTCCAGATGGGCCAGGCTGCGGGTCACTGGGATCGTCGGGGTATTCCAGGTCGTTGTTGGCGGGAATTGTGACCACTGACAGCAAAGTTACACTGCTTTCTTCTTTTTGTTTTTTTTAATTCTTTCCATGCACCACAAACCCACTGGTGTCTGTCAATGCAGGCATTGTCCTTCCACTGGCAGTACACCGTGATGTAGATTTGATAAGCTTGCTTCGTTATTTTGTTGATATTTCGCAGTGGAATCGTAATAATTTTTCTCACTACCTACACACTGTCTAGCCATAATGGAACTGATTTGAATTTCAACTGCCTTCTCTTAGGCCCAGCTGCTATTGTCACGTGATGATCTATTCCATATCTGATTGGTTCTTTTGAGTGTCTATGTTTACGTCACGTTCACGCACGAATCTAATTGGCTCATTTGATTTCCCTCGCATACGTCATCCGCTACGAATCCGTCCGACTTCCCGTCGCTCTTAACGACTTTTTGTCATTTTGTCGCGGCGCTGGAGGCGGAAGGATACCGCAGGTCCTGGAAATCGTTGATTTTATACCCTCTATAACTCCGTTATTATCAATTTGCGCACAAAATGGTATAAAAGAAAACTACCATAGAAAGATGTGTTCTATTACATGGTAAGCTCAGATTCTTTTAATTTAGTGTGGGGTTGCATTTCCAATAATACCAAAGATTTGTAGTGTATGTTTGGGACCTTCTCACCATTAGTTTCAAAGGCATGATTGTTGCTGCAGGTAGGTATTTGAGTTGATTTATCATTGGTAAGCAGCATTGGTCTCTTAATGCAGATTTGACTTCTGTTGCTAGTAGTATTGATTTATGTAATTTTAACGAGCATTACCATAATTTGTTTGTGGTAGGACACTCCCGAAAAATTTACATAAGGAGCTGAGAAACAGGCTTCAGTGTTGCCAATAGCCAGCTTCACTCTACCCAATTTTCTTATAGTAAAAGGAGAAATAACACTACAATGCATAACTCTATTACTATTACTGTTGTTTCATGAGTTACTTTCTATCTTTCAGAAAAAATGGACAAACAAACAACGTGTTCTAGTATTTGGCTCAAGAGGTATAGGATACCGAGAAAGACATCTAATGGAAAATTTGCGGACTCTAATGCCTCACTCCAGACGGGAAGTGAAGAAGCAGAAAAGGGATGATCTGAGAGTTATTAATGAGGTAATTTTCTCTTAAGTGTATGTATCTACCTATCACACGCACAGCATGCACCCACTCTCCATGCACACGCACTCACACTCTCACGCATGCACACTCACTCACTCACTCTCACACCACACACCACACACACACTCTCTCTCTCTCTCTCTCTCTCTCTCTCTCTCTCTCTCTCTCTCTCTCTCTCTCTCTCTCTCTCTCTCCTCTCTCTCTCTCTCTCTCTCTCCTCCTCTCTCTCTCTCTCTCTCTCTCCTCTCTCTCTCTCTCTCTCTCTCTCTCTCTCTCTCCTCTCTCTCTCTCTCTCTCTCTCTCTCTCTCTCTCTCTCTCTCTCTCTCTCCTCCTCTCTCTCTCTCATCTCTCTCTCTCTCTCTCTCTCTCTCTCTCTCCTCTCTCTCTCTCTCTCTCTCTCTCTCTCTCTCTCTCTCTCTCTCTCTCTCTCTCTCTCTCTCTCTCTCTCTCTCTCTCTCTCTCTCTCTGCTCTCTCTCTCTCTCTCTCTCTCTCTCTCTCTCTCTCTCTCTCTCTCTCTCTCTCTCTCTCTCTCTCTCTCTCTCTCTCTCTCTCTCTCTCTCTCTCTCTCTCTCTCTCTCTCTCTCTCTCTCTCCTCTCTCTCTCTCTCTCTCTCTTCTCTCTCTTTCTCTCTCTCTCTCTCTCTCTCTCTCTCTCTCTCTCTCTCTCTCTCTCTCTCTCTCTCTCTCTCTCTCTCTCTCTCTCTCTCTCTTATCTCTCTCTCTCTCTCCTCTCTCTCTCTCTCTCTCCTCTCTCTCGGTTTATTATATTTTCTTTTATTACATTTTTTGTATTATATTATAGATACTTCGATATGTATTAAATAAGTGTTTTTTGAAAGTTATTTCAATTTTAGATTGGGAACGAGTGCTTGATAATTAGTTTTTCTCTTACTTTTCAGATTGCAGAGATGAAGAATTGTAATAAGTGTATATACTTCGAAATGAAAAAGAAAAAAGATTTTTACATGTGGATTTCACAAGTTCCCAATGGACCATCCATCAAGTTCTTAGTCTTAAACAGTAAGTACTATAGTCCCTTTTTTCCCCTCTCTCTTTCCTCAATCTTTTGCTTATATACCATAATGTATTGTGGCAGTATTATATTGTAAAATATATATATGAATTGTTTCATTTGCTGAGTGTAAAGGATATAATGATAGTAATGATGATGATAATTTGAAAATGTAGAATGAAGGGTGGTGTGTAGCTTTGAGTCTGTCTGTGCATTTGTAAGTGTGGATATTAACCTCGTATTTTCTTTTCTTTTAGTTCACACCATGGGCGAACTGAAAATGACTGGAAACTGTTTGCGAGGAGCTCGACCACTTCTGAGTTTTGATCCCCAGTTCAATGAGCCACATTGGGCTATCATGAAGGAATTATTTATACAAACCTTTGGCATCCCAAACTACCATCCCAGAAGTCAGCCATTCCACGATCATGTCTATACTTTCACCATTGTGG